AATTATTTAATTTTCAGCTTTTCACCTGATATCTCAAGTACTAATCATCACATTTCAATGAGTCTTGCGACATAGATATTCTAGGACTATGCAGAGACCTGATTAATTTTGGGATAAATAATTGTGCCTATTAATTACCTAATTTGAATAATTAGTTAATTTTTTTTGCTGTTCTGTGGCTGTTGCACTGATGTATAAAAACCACTCATTGGATTTCAACGAAACTTTTCAAGAGTACCTGTCACATTTCAATGAACCCAGGACTATACACCATATTAGTTTTTGGTAAATATTTATGCTTCTTAATCACCTAATTAACATAATTAATTAATACTGTATATCTCAAGTATTGATCATCACATTTGAATAAAACTTAGTACATAAATGGTCTAGGACAATAGACAGCCTGATTAATTTTGGGTCAAAATCTGTTCATATTAATTCTCTAATTAGCATATTAATTAATATTTTTTTGGTTCTAATCACATTTCAATGAAACTTGGTACATTGTGCAGACCTTATTAGTTTTACACTTAAATCTGTTCGTTACCTTATTTGCATAATTAATTTTCTGCGTTTCCATCAACATCTCAAGTTCAAGTAATTTTGAATTAATTTTTAATGCGTCTCCAATACTCTCAGCACACGGGAGTTCTTTCTAAGCTTTCTTTGATTTGGAAAGTGAGGTATCTTGGATAGGATTTGTTGGTATTCGTTAAAATTTGATACAAACATTATACATGTTGAGATACTTGTCCATAATGATTTATTTCATGTTTGAATCCAAAATGACCAACTGGCAGCCATCTTGTTTTTTTCAAAATGTATCGCTGACATGTCTTTTTTCTCTTCAAATTATACATGTTAGGATACATGTCCATGACAATTAGTTTCACAATCAGACCAAAGATGGTGACTGCCTGCAATCTTGCTTTTTGACCATACTACAACATCTCTGTACATGAGCGTGGACAAATAAAATTCAGTTTGAATACAAAAAATGCATGAATAGCATATCCTGTTTAATTTCTGAATATATATTCAGATTTTAGAAGTCGTATATTACATGTAATTTCTGTTGATACTAGACCAGCCAGTTATTCACTCTCAATTACTAACTATGCTTTTGGTTCATATTACTTTATTTTTGTCATGAATAACATTTCCCCTAATTCCAACAAGGACTATGTCATTAACAATGACTTTTTATTATACATCACGTCATAGATATACAGATGTATTGGTTTGACAATCTAACAGGTGGCCATTTTGTTAATCAATGATGTTCCAACACAATCTCTCAATATGGACAAATATCGTACTATTCGATTTTGTTTGTGTAAACTGGCATTTTAATTCATTTTGAGGGGTCTGAATTTAGCCACTGTGTAATGTGTGTTCTGGATTTGTTATACAAACTTCAGGGCTTAAACATACTTCATAGAACATACACATAGATTGGTGAAGCACATGACGAAATAGACAACATTTCTAGTCAACTTCAATGAACTAGCGCTAATACCAACTACACTATTTTGACACATAAACGAAGTGTAAAAATAAACTGTTTTTAGTTGTGATTCTTTGCATTTTAATATGTTGATTCACAAAACAGATGACTGTCCCGGCTCATGACAGGGACAGGCGCATTAATGTCACATGTTTTATTTGAATGCTATGACGCAATGCATGCACATATTCCATGCACACATTCTTCATGGGAGTTTTCTTGCAAAATGCAAAATATATTACCATTTTTGGAAATAATAATTGATATTACTATATTATCCCTGTTTTGATAAGTTGATCATACACTCGCAATCACTATGATCGAATAGTGCTCGGTTGTGCGATCTCAGTTCAGTTAGATATTTGGGGCAGGATCACAGGTCTTCTAGTGGCAGATATAAGACCTTGCTTCAGCTAATCAAATTGCTAGATTCAGACCATGTTATCATTATTAACTCGCTATGGCTGCCAATGTTTTTAACCATACTAATATAATTGTGATTTTTGTCTTACAGGCTCACAAGGAGGCTGAAGAGTTAATGAAGAAAGTGAAGTGAGCTGGCCGATAATTGTATGCACCTACCTTCTAAAGTGTTTTCAATATACACATAGTTAAAGTCAGCTCTGTAGCCAATGATGAAACTCAGTGTTTTTTGTTTTTCTGTGTGGCTGTAGTTTCTGCTGGTAAAATGATGCAGCACTAAGATTAAAATTTTCGCAAACAGCGATGAAACACTGCATGTGATTGGCCAGTGACATACGTATTATTATAATCGACATTATTTACAGTCGTTCATTTCTGAGATCTATTAATTGTATGGTAGTAGTATATATAAGTATAGTTCCGTTTTTGATATTTTTAGATAAGATAGGGAATGCAAAGGTTTAAATGTAAATATGATGCTATTAACTATGACCTCACATACAGTCAGTAATATCCTGATAACTCGCCTTACACAGTAAATGACCACTCACCTGTCACAGTGAGTAACTTGATAACTCGCCTCCCAGACAATAATATCCTGATAACTCGCTTCATACAGTGATTGACCACTCGCATGTCACACAGTGACTAACTTGGTAACTCACCTCCCAGACAATAATATCCTGATAACACGCCTCATACAGTTTATGACCACTCACCTTTCACAGTGAGTAACTTGATAACTCGCCTCCCAGACAATAATATCCTGATAACTCGCCTCGTACAGAGAATGACCACTCACCTGTCACACAGTGAATAACCTGGTAACTCACCTCCCAGACAATAATATCCTGATAACTCGCTTCACACAGTGATTGACCACTCACATGTCACACAGTGACTAACTTGGTAACTCACCTCCCAGACAATAATATAATGATAACGCGCCTCATACAGTTTATGACCACTCACCTTTCACAGTGAGTAACTTGATAACTCGCCTCCCAGACAATAATATCCTGATAACTCGCCTCGTACAGAGAATGACCACTCACCTGTCACACAGTGAATAACCTGGTAACTCACCTCCCAGACAATAATATCCTGATAACTCGCCTCATACAGAGAATGACCACTCACCTGTCACAGTGAGTAACTTGATAACTCACTTCCCAGTCAATAATTGCCTGCACGTAGTCAATAACATAACTCATCTCACAGTCAATGAACACTTGCTTCGTGCAGTTTAAAACCTGAAAACTCACACAGTCAATAAACGCCATATTGTCAGCTTAGTGTTTACCTCTTGTGCTAAAATGGTAATGTATAATTTTAAATAAATTTGTACAACTACAAGAATATCACTGCATAAATAATGCTGCTTTGACGTCATTTCAATATTAGACATGAAGATAAATAAATTATTATTGATGCATTTGTTGAATAAATATTAATGCCAGTTTGTTTGTCTGTTTTATTACATAACACTATTCACATTATTGATTTCAATCTCATGAGTAGGAATTACTCAATGAATCCACAAGAGTTGTATTTTTGACTCCTGTATGTGAAGCACACAATGAGTAATTGCAGTTAGTCTGTCTGTCTGTCTGTCTGTCTGTCTGTCTGTCTGTCTGTCTGTCTGTCTTTCTGTGTCTGTCTGTCTGTCTGTGTTGTCTGTGTGTGTGTCTGTCTGTCTGTCTGTCTGTCTGTCTGTCTGTCTGTCTGTCTGTCTGTGTCTGTCTATCTGTGTCTGTCTGTCTGTCTATCTGTGTCTGTCTGTCTGTCTATCTGTGTCTGTCTGTTGTCTGTCTGTCTGTCTGTATGTGTGTGTATGCTCAAATTTTATTAGGTTTTGGTTTAAATTCATTCATATTAATTACCTAATTAGCTAATTTTTAGCTGTTCCACTGATATCTAAAGCACCACTTAATTGATTTTAATGAAAGCCATGGCAGCCATTTTGATTAGGTCCAAATTGGTACATAGACTATTGCATTCTAGCACATTATTGAAAATTTATGTATTCCTGTGGTTGTGGGAAATGGATCAATTTGTTATGTGACTTATAATCCTTGGCGGGAATTGTAATATGACATTGCCCACTTGGTCAACCCAAATTTTTCTGTTGACACACTCAAGTGGTCACTGTTAAATGCTTTGATGCAGAATTTTCAACTAGTGTAGTGACAAGTACTTTGGAACAAAATTATTGATGTATCATGCAATTCCCATCTTGTAACAGTGCAGTAAACAAACCTGAAACAAGTTGGTCCCTTTGAACACATGTCAGTATGTGTAGCATGATGTACCGTGTGGGTAAAGTTTGAATTCAATCAGTCAGGACTATAGAACAGCCTGCCATGTAGGCATGGGTAGACCCGAACAGCATCAGACCTCGCTAACACCCGACAGAATATTGTCTGTCTCGTTGGAAAGATAAATATTGCGAATTCGCAAAGTTCACGCCTTCTTACAATGAATTTTAATGAATATTCATTTTGGTAGTCATGGTAACATCGTTAATCAAAGCAGTGTTTGCATTGTCGGCAAAAATCACAGGCTGTTTTCAATAAGATGATAAACATTTGGCGTCAAAACATTTAAGTCAACAAACAAATAAACCCTGCCGTGAATGGTTACTCTTTGATGGCTGTCACTATCTGATGTTCCTGCAATTTGATTGGTACCGACAAAAAAAATCGTCCAGGGAAGTGTAAAACTTCATCTTTCTGTCAGGCGTGTGTTGGGTTCGGAGCACCGTGGAGGGTGCAACTCGCGCTACCTCATCAGGCTAGGCTTCAGAACAGCATTGTGTAAAATGGCTTCCCACTTGTCACCAATAGCTCTTTCTGATCACCAATTAACTGAGATATTAATTGCTTTTGCACATGAACTCAAAGATCTTAATGCACTCAGTTATCCTGTGCCCTCTTCTGTTGTTGCCCAGCTTTCCCTTATGCTGACACTATTAAGGCCACTTTGATCAGTTTGTTGACTCGAGCATCAACTCTGATTATGGTTTTGGTAGCTGTCCTCACATTATCCAAGCTTGATGCATTCCTCTCCTCTGTTGAATTGTCATGGTATGAACACCTACTTGGTAACCAGGATGTTTAATGCCACAAGAATCATTCATATGTGCTCAATTAGTTCATGAAGTGAGATACGTTCCGTACCCTCATGCCAACATTGCTCTTGCAAAGTCCGACTCTTTATCAATTCAAGCTTTACCATTATCATCATTGCAATGTACCACGTGAACATCCTTTTTAATGCTTTCACTAAAACAGCTGCATCCAAGTCCCAACCTACCAATGACTATAAACCTAGAATCTGGTCCAGTAAGTCAAACACTAGCAAATGAAATAAGAATTCCCACTCCTACAATTATACATGCGTAAATGCTATAAGCTATGGTGTGTCAGTATTTGTTTGGGACAGAACCAACCAATCGTACTGGTTTCAGTACAACCGGGACTAGGTTATTTCAGAGAAGCACAGGGCCCAGACGTATTGGCATAACAAACTACATTCATAGTTGGTGTGGTATCTTTACTACTGACATGGTCTCGAGGCCAATTCAATTCAGAATTGGCAGAGATTGCAAGCCAACTCAATTTAAAGTTCATACAGTGTCTGGCCAGTATGGGTTCTTGTTCAATGCTACTTCACCAATTGGCTTGTGCCTGTGTGTGGATCACTGGAGGAGGAGAATCTAGAACAAACTTTCTGGTAGAGTGAGGGTACACGATACCATTCTTTTTCACTCCCACACCCATAAACAGATCCTCTATTTGGACCATTTGCAAGAGTTTCAGAGAAGACTCGTGTATTATTGACAAGCTTGAAGCCTTACTAGAAAAGGAAGTGATCCAGATATACACAGGGTCAGGACCTGTATTTTATGCTCCTGGTTCCTGGTACTGCGGCAAAAGATCCTTTAGCAACTGGCAGAGCTGTAAGACCAAGACCCTGGGCCAAGAGTTGCTTTTCTTATCCCATTAATAGCAATTGTTCGCCATTGTCTGCTTCAAAGTTGCAATATTCTTTGTTTGGTTTAAATAACATTCATCAATTGTTGTTAAGGTTTGGGTTAAAAGAGATGGTATATCAATTTAAGATCTTCCCTTTCAGCCTCTGAATGGTACAATTGGTGGTCGTCTAACTCTATGCCTGGCGCATCATTAGCAGAGAATAATATATCTTGGGATTACACAACACCATTACCGACTAAGACAACACTAAATGGCAGATCCTGACCAGAATCTAAACTACTATACAAGCCCTGGGTGGGACCACTCATCGAGCTGACAGTCACACCACTGATTGGTTATCGTTAGCTCTTCAGGTTAAGTGTGTCATGTTAACAACACCAAGGCATCATTCCTCGCTGATTATTCAGGAAAGACAGTGTTCTTCGCTTTGCTAGCATGAGAAGATGTAGCAAATTACAAGTACACAGCTTTGAATGTTCATTTACAATGCAGTGAACAAATATAACACTTTTGCGTGCTGCACCATGAATGGTTCGTAGAAACTATCTGCATTACATGTTCCCTACGGCTCAATCCGTATATGGTGAAAGTGCATGGCTTTAGGGTATTGCTCATATGTTTTTTAAACACACAATACATGTATCTCCTCAAAAACCTTGCCATCAGCAGCACTGGTTGTCTTCTGTTGTTGTGGGACCGCGAATTACAACCATGTTTTGTTTAACATGTCATTCCTTAACCCTTAGCTCTGACTAACCATAAGGATGGCTAACCTCAAGTCATTCACGACAACGTAAATTAGGTATTTTCATTTCAGAAAAAATAATGCCTTGGTTATGTTGGATAAAACTGCATAAAACACTATATGAAGCCAGATTTGTTGGCAAGTTCAATTGAGTGTGCAGCTAAAGAAACTTTCTTACAGCAAAGATGGACTTCAAAAATACTTTGAAGGTATATTTTCTCACACTCTATACTACCATACCACATGACAAGTTAAAATTACATTTGAATAATATTTTCCATAAAATATTACATTGTATAATGGTAAAAAATCCCATTTTTTTTACTGATAACATTTAAGCAAAAACGTTCCACGCGGAAGATAACATTGTCAATATGCTTGAATATTTGACTGACAACATATTTCTTTGGTAACCATGTCTTTTAACAAAGCATCGGCATTCCAATGGGAACTCTTTGCTGGCCGAGTTCAAAATCATTCAATATCATCTTCAGATGATGTACTTTTCATCTACAATCCATCTGAACTTGAAATCAAAGGAACACGAGAATCAAGTTCTTCTGCCTCATATCTTGATCATTGCCGATATTATTCAGGTTAAAGTGGATAAGACATTACGAAAATAGTATCTTGGTCTGCAGTGGTTCACTGCATGCTCATTCGCTTCATTGTAACTATAACAACATACTATGTGATTATTATTGGACATCCTTCCAGTCTTGACTACATCTTATCGCCCAAGCAGACGGACCTACCTCCACAAACTTAAGAGCGACAGCTCCTTGTATGGCTATACAATACTACAGATCGACTAGGAATAATTGTACTATGGTACACTCAAATCTTTGGCCCAGATGTATGAACTTACCAATTCATTTTCTTTCCATGAAATATTAACTTAATTTTCTATAAATGTAAAATCAGTGTCACTTTACAAATGACTGCAATAAAATAACGGTAATGTTATAAGTAAGTATTATGGTCCGTTATAAACAAATCAAGTTGTGGATCTGCCGGTGGTCCACAGTGTGTTTTTGTTTTATAATAACAACGCCCATTGTCCAATTATTATAATGGTCTAGCTACAATGCTATAAAGACCACTCATCACATACTACATTATGCTGAATGATGTGCCTATTAGACGAGGACGTGGTCTCGGGTGTTTTCGTTTCCTAGTTAATAATACAATAAATAAGGGCAACATCACATGACTCTCACTACCTTCTAGTATAATACCTGGGAATCAAAGGAGCATCCAGAGTTGCCAAAACAACGATGGATGTCAAGCTGAGCAGCCATGTTTCATCATCCCTACTGAACAACCTTGGCGAATCATATTATAAGTAATGTTTTTTTTTTCATAATTTAGGACACATCTCCATTTCCATGCTACGTGTTTCTGATTTACATCTTTTTTATTTTCAATGATTTTGTTAACAAATGACAAAAAATTAAAATAATCCGATAACACCCCAGATGTCAGTAACTCACCGGAAGAGTCTTTGTTGAAATGTTGAGGTTGCTATAGCAACTCAATGCTGACAAAATACGACTATGAATGAAACGTGCACCTGTTGTTATTTTCAGTCAGAGGAAGTAGATGGAACCTGTTCCATTGCCATGGATACTGTGGGATGCTGCGAGTAATGTGTTGAAAATACATCACTGAGTGTCGGATGTAGAAATCCCAGCGGATTAACGCATCCAGAATGCAGAA